TAGAAGATATGCATTCTGCAAAACCGAAGGATTGTGCTTTAGATGTCTGCGTGGCAAGCACAGGGGAACTAACTGCCGCAAGTTTCCCGGCTGTGCTGTTGAGGGCTGTGGTGGCACTCATCACAGCCTCCTGCATGCCAGTGGAGGTGGAAACTCTCGAAACTCACCTGAAGTAGCCCGACCGTCTTACAGGACTCCGACACTCAGCAGCCAGGCCAAGGAATTCATTCCGAGAACGGTCGAGGGCCGCGCTTGTGCTAAAGAAGATAGTGCTCCAACAAGCAGTGCACAGGTGTCCGCGGCTCCTGGTGCAAGTTTTAATACCGCTGCCCAGAGACAAGAGAAGCGAAGTGGAAAAGTCGCGTTTCAGACGGCCCCGGTATTAGTGCACTGTCAGGATCGATTTCTGAAGCTGAACGCACTCTTAGATCCCTGCTCTGACGCCAGTTACATAAGTAAAGCTGCTGCAGACGAGCTCGGACTACAAGGAGAAGAAGTCAAATTTGAGCTTGGGACGGTCAATGGCAAGACGGATGTGAAAATGACGTCAGGAGCTGTCCGGATAGCCTCTACCCAGAGTAGGTTTGAAACGTCCTTAGATGTTCACGTCATTCCCAGTCTGGAAGGAGCCTCCGTATGTACGAGCTGGCAGGATGTGAAGCAGCGTTGGCCACACATGGTAGACATCCCCTTTCCAAAGATGGCTGGAAGGGAAGTGGACCTACTGATCGGTCTTAGCCCTGAGACAATGCCCATCTTTGTGCCTCTGAAGACTGTCTCCGGCGAGAGTTCGAGCCCAGTCGCTGTCCTAACGCCACTTGGATGGACAGCATTCGGCTGCGTTCAAGACAATGAAGATCCTTCTAACCTACAAAAGCTGAAGAGCATGACAAACGTCGCAAGAACCTTGAGAACTTGCCTGACAGATAAGTCACTAAACGAAGAAATTCAAGCAATGAGAGCGATGACAGATCTGGAGGTGCTGGACGTCAAGACCACCGAGACCAATCTTCTGTCAGCTGAAGAAAAAGTGGCTATGAAGAAAGCTGCAAGTTCATTGAAGAAACAAGGAAGTAGATATCAAGTTGCAGTACCATGGCGAGAAAACGAACCGCAGCTGAAAAGCAACTACGAATCTGCGCTGATTCGCCTAGTGAAGCTGGAAAATTCTCTTCATCGTCGGGGAGCTCATCTTGCTGCAAAGTATAACGACATTCTTGAAGAGTACGTGAAGAAAGGTTATATGACCAAAACTCCCACGGCGCAGAGATCAAACAGTGGAGAGGATGAGTGGTTCCTTCCACACTTTCCCGTCATTCGAGAGGACAAGGCGTCATCCAAGATCCGAATCGTGTACGACGCAGCGGCCAAAAGTGAGGGAATCAGTCTCAACTCACAGCTCCTTCCGGGACCATCGCTTTACAGCGACCTGATTGAAACGCTAGTCGGATTCAGACAACATCCTATCGCCTTAGTCGGAGATGTAAAGGAGATGTTCCTTCAAGTCAAGCTGGCGCCAAAAGATCAGAAGTTCCACCGCGTCCTATGGCGCAACATGAAGCAAGATGAAGAACCAACAGTTTTTGAAGCCAAGAGATGGATCTTCGGAAACGCTGCAGCACCGTTCGTCGCGCAGTTTGTTCTGAAGGAGCATGCGCGACTCAACGCAGAGAAGTACCCTGTTGCGTCTGAAGTAATCAGCAAGCACGTTTACATGGACGACGAGATCGCATCATTTAAGGATGCGGAATCCGCCATCGGAGCAAGGAGGCAAGTTAGTGAGCTGCTGGAAGATGCTGGCATGAAGATGACGAAGTGGAAATCAAACAGTCAAGAAGTGATGGAAACAGTACCAGAAGAAGACAGAGCCGTCACCTCAAAACATTTCATTGAAGACAAAGGATCAGAATCAACCAAAGCTCTCGGCGTGGTGTGGTCGACAGAAGACGACATTCTATCACTGGATGTGTCCAAGCGGCCGCTGGTGACAGGAAGATGGACCAAGAGAGCTGTCCTGAAGGAGATGGCTGCCATCTTCGACCCGTTGTGCCTATTCGCACCATTCACACTCCGTGCCAAGATGTTATTTCAGCAAACCTGGGACTGCACGATCAACTGGGACGACATCCTACCTGAGGATCAGCAGAAACAGTGGAACGCGTGGTTCTCCGAACTCGCAGAACTGGAGACCATAGCTGTGCCAAGATGTATTCACCGCTTCAAGGGTGAACCTGACCAAGAGCTCCATGTCTTCAGTGATGCCTCTGAGCAGGCATATGCCGCTGCTGTATATGTCGTATCCGAAAGCATGGGTGAGAGGTGCTCCAATCTCGTCCTGGCACGTGCCAGAGTGGCACCGAAAGCAAAGAAGAAGACGATCGCCAGACTGGAGCTCATGGGGGCGCTCTTGGGACTGCGTCTAGTCAAGAAAGTGTGTAGCGCTCTTGGGAAGGAGCTATGTGAGGTCCATTTCTGGTCAGACTCAATGGATGTCCTCTGCTGGATCAGAAACGAAGTTTCTAGGTTTCAAGCATTTGTGGCCCACCGAGTGTCAGAAATCCGTGAGTGTACGGTGCCGGAGCAATGGCAGCACGTACCAGGCAAGGAAAACCCAGCCGACGCGCCGACAAGAGGACTGAGTCTCGAGGCGCTTCGAGGTCACAGGCTGTGGTGGCATGGGCCGGAGTTCCTGGTGGATGAAGACCGTACATGGCCGACAAAAAGACACTTCAGTGATGAAGATTTTGACAGAACCGAACTGGTCAGACGAGAGCAAAGAAACACGTTCGCCATAAGAGCTCCAGCCTCAAGCGCGGAGTTACGACTCCTCCCGGAAAAGTTCTCTAGCTGGACTAGGTTCATTCGAATCACAGCCTGGGTGATGCGATTCATCAAAGCACTGAAAGAAAAACTGAGAAAACGCCCAGCCAGATGTACTGAACCAGAGGGGCTAGGTCCAACTGAAGTCGATGAAGCGGAACAGTTCTGGATTAAACGAGCTCAGGAAGAGTCATTTTCTGAAGAAATGAAGAAGCTGAAGACAAGTGAAGGATCCGGTGTCAAAAGATGTCGTCAAAGCTCAGTGAAGAAGCTGTGTCCATTCATGGACGAGGACGGCATACTCAGAGTTGGAGGCAGGCTACAGCGCTCCGACTTGAGCTACAGCGCCAAGCATCCTGTTCTGCTTCCAAAGGGACACCCAATCAGCAGACTGATAATTCGTCAGCTGCACGAGGACACTGAACATGGCTTAGGTGTAGAGCACACCTTGGCCAGCTTACGAACGCGCTTCTGGGTGCCTGCTGCGCGGGAGATGATCAAGAAATGCATTCACCAGTGCGTAAAGTGTCAGAAGCTCCGAAAGTCAGCCGAGACACAAGTGATGGCGCCCAAGCAAAGCAACCAAGTGAGAACGCGCTTCCGCGCCTTTGACAAGACGGCAGTTGACTTTGCAGGACCATTCCTGACAAAACAAGGTCGTGGAAAGGTCAGGCAAAAACGGTACCTATGTATGTTCACCTGCCTCCAGGTCAGAGCCGTTCATCTGGAGATGACGTACGGGCTAGATACATCCAGTTTCATTCGGGCTCTGATGAGATTCATTTCCAGAAAAGGCGAGCCCTCAGAGATCATATCTGACAACGGAAGAAACTTCACACGGGCTTCAAAGGAACTGCAGCAGTCCTTTCACGGATTGGACAACAGTCAGATCCAGCGTGAACTTCTGAAGTCACGCACGAAGTGGACGTTCATTCCTCCTGGTGCTCCACACTTCAATGGAGCGTGTGAAGCAATGGTAAAGATCGCGAAGAGAGCGTTGATGAAGACTCTCGAGCATGCTGACCTCTCTGATGAAGAGCTGCAGACAGCGTTCTGTAAAGTAGAGGCGCTGATGAACACAAGGCCACTGACGGTGTTATCCAACGACCCAACTGATGACCAGCCGCTCACGCCAGCCAACTTCCTCGTGGGTCACACAGCAATCGAGATGACAGTATCATCAGATTCCAATGAGGCGGGGGTAAGGCAGCGCTGGAAACGTATACAACAGCTGTCAACAGAGTACTGGAGGCGATGGCTCAGAGAATATCTACCGTCGCTACAGCGGAGACAGAAGTGGCTTGATCCGAAACCCGACATAGCACCTGGTGACGTGGTGTTGGTGGTCGACCCGTCTTCTCCACGAGGAAAGTGGCCGATGGGACGCATAGACCAAGTGATGAGAGGTGACGATGGTCACGTCAGAGTGGCGTCTGTGAGGATGCGAGACAAGATCGTCACAAGACCAGTCACAAAGATGGTCCGACTGGATGTCAGCGGCCTGCTGGTGTAGTTGTTGGATTGGGAACAATCCAAAGTGAGGGGAAGATGTTTGGGAGGATTTTATATCAATGAGGCTCGAGCGTGAGCTGCTCGAGAAATGAAAAAAAAATTACTTGAAATACAGGAGTCAACATGAAGTGTTAAGAGTGTTAAAACCGTTATTAAGTACTTAACAATTTAAGCTGGTTTATTTATTAAGTATCACATTTATTTAAGATTTAAGATTACAAAACACAACGCGAGGATAGCAAAACTATAATAACAATACTTTTGCTCGCTCTCGTATACGTTACGATATCTCCCTTACATGGCGCGGTCGTATTAATTAAAGTAAAAGTGTCAATATGGCGAGTGATGACCCCAGTGCCCTGCTACAACTAGCCACAGCGGCTGAAGAGTTTGAGGGGGCCAGCGGCGACATCAATACGCCAGCAGATGACACCACATCAGCTGCAGAGACCTCACCGCTCTTGCTCCTGCAGCAACAGCTAACGGACCTGCGAGCATCGCTCCTCGAATCCCAGGCGCGCGAGGCCCAGCGAGATTCCCTAATGGAGCAGCTGACTCATATCGTGGCTGCCCAAGCGCCGAACACAAGCGCTCCTGATCAGTCATCCTCAAACCGCTCAGTATAGCGAGAAGTCAAAAATGTCAGGCCACCGACCGGCACGTACGAGATGTCCTCCGTGGAATACCGCACGTTCTGCCGTGACTGGCGTGACTACCAGCGTCTTACACAGGACTGTAATTCAGCCACCGTGACGCACATACGTCTGATGTGTGACGCACAGCTACGGCAGGCCATCGATACTATTCATGGCGATAAATGGCAGAGCTACAGCGTCGACCAGGCACTGCAGGAAATCGGCAACATCACCAAACACAGTAGCAACCCAGCTGTGGCTCGCAAACGTTTCCACGCGCTAGCACAGACGCCAACTGAACCAATCAGAGAGTTCGTCGTCCGGTGTAAGCAAACTGCCGCCGACTGCCGCTTCACGTGTCCATCCTGCAACAGCGACCTTACCGACTGGATGCTGACTGACCAGATCACCTGCGGCGTCCAGAGCGAGGCGCTACAGCAGGAGCTTCTACTGAAGCACAGCAGCTTCTCCAGCTTCGAGGCGCTGCGTTCGTACTGTGAAGCGCATGAGTCAGCATATAGAGACAAACATGAGCTGTCGATGGCTTCCGCCACTTCTGTAGCTGCGGCCGTAGCTCCAGTCGACACCGCTGAGGACATCGAACAGCCGGATCCAGATCAAGCACCCGAGCTTGCCGCCAGGATGTCCGCTCACACCCGGCAGAAGCAGGGCAAATCCCACCAGCCGGCAGCCCCATGCTCCTTCTGTGGGCGCGCTGCACACACCAAGGGTCGACAAGGCTGTCCGGCGCACGACAAATTCTGCACCCAGTGCGGTAAGAAAGGCCACTTCAGCACTGTGTGTCGAAGCAAGACAACGCTCAGCTCGGTGCGCGTTGAGCCTAACGTCGTAGCTGGTGTCGGGCGCGGACTTCCTCGCCTGCAGCTCACTGTGATTCACCCCGGCAGCCGCAAGTCGCGTGTTCTCAGCGCCATCGCCGACACCGGTGCTGAAGTCTCCGTCATGGGTCGCTCACATCTAACACAGCTGGGACTCAGCCCCAAACACTTAAAGAAGACGCCAAGACGTCTGCAGCATGCAGCCGGTGGTGGTCTGCAAGTGCTTGGCACCATCCGGATGCGGCTTTGCCTTCAAGACAGGCAAATCACAGAAGACATATTTGTGGTAGCGGGCGTCAGTGACATGTTCCTCTCGCTATCAGCATGTAGGAATCTGAGCATCGTACATGCCCACTTTCCGTGTCACCAGATCGGCGCCATCTCTGGCGCTGATCATCCTCCTGAAGGCGCCGACATGACCACAGACAGGCCCCACCACCTGCCTGATCGTCCAAACCAGCTCCCATTTCCACCCACGGAGGGAAACATACCAAAGCTGGAGGCCTGGCTGAAGGAGCACTTCTCGGACAGCACCTTCAACACCACGTGTCAGCCGCTCCCGGCCATGTCGGGGCCGCCACACCACATCCACCTGAAGGATGGAGCTGAGCCGTTCGTCGCTCACACACCCATTCCAATTCCACATCACTGGAAGAAAGAGGTCAAGCGTCAGCTGGATGACGATGTCGCCAGGGGTATCCTGAGACCAGTTCCTGCCGGAGAGCCATCGGAGTGGTGCTTCAGGATGGTCACTGTACCGAAAAAGGACGGCAAACCGAGGAGAACGGTGGATTTCCAGCCCGGTAACAAAGCATGTCTCCGCGAGACTCACCATACCCCTCCACCATTCGACATGGTAAGCAGCATCCCCCCAAAAAGCTACAAGACGGTTCTAGACGCCTTTAATGGGTATCACCAAGTGATGCTAGACGAGGAAAGTCGCAAACTGACAACCTTCATCACTGAGTACGGCCGATATCAGTATCTGCGTACACCGCAGGGTCACTGTTCAGCTGGTGACGCCTACACAAAAAGATATGATGACATAGTCGCTGGTGTGGAAAGACAGTGTAAATGCATCGACGACACTCTGCTGTACGATGCAGATATCAAACAAGCGTTCTTCCACACATTCGACTACCTCACGCTGTGTGGCAGAAACGGTGTGACATTGAACCCCGACAAGTTCAAGTTCTGTCGTCGTGATGTCGAGTTCGTCGGCTATTTCCTAGGATGGGAAGACTACAAGTCAACAGGCGACAAGCTGTCAGCCATAAAGAACTTCCCTATGCCGGAGCAGCCATCCATCACAGACATCAGATCCTGGTTTGGGCTGGTGAACCAGCTCGCGCCGTTCATGGCCGTCTCACCCCTGATGGAACCATTCAGAGACCTTCTGAAGCCTGGAGCCTCCAAGAAAGTCTACTGGGATCAGAATCTCCAGACGATCTTGAACAAAACCAAAGAAGCCATATGCAGTATGGCGGCAAATGGACTCGCCTACTTCGACCGGTCCCGGCCAACCGCCGTGGTGACCGACTGGTCCAGAAATGGAATTGGCTTCGTGATCCTCCAGCAGCACTGCAGCTGTGCCAAACATCAAGCGCCGTTCTGCTGTACAGGGGGCTGGAAGCTGGCCCTCTGTGGTAGCCGCCATCTGTCTTCGGCGGAATCAAACTACTCAGCGGTGGAAGGCGAGGCACTGGCCGTGGCGTGGTGCTTCAAGAAGGCCAGGCTGTTCCTCCTCGGTAATCCGGGCTTCCTTCTTCTCGTGGACCACCGGCCGCTGGTGAAAATCCTTGGCAACAGAGCCCTCGGTGACACATCAAACCCAAGGCTGCTTCGTCTCAAGGAGAAGACGCTGCTGTTCGACTATCGGATCAAGCACTTGCCTGGGAAGCAGAATCTGGCCGCAGACACGCTCTCGAGGTACCCAGTCGGCGCTCTAGAACCAGACAAGGATGACACGGACGTTAGTGAGGATCTGGAGGCCCTGGGCGCCATTGTGTCAGCATTAACGGCCACCTCAGAAGACGTCATAGCCATGGATCCCCAACATGTCAAAGACGCTGCGCAGTCTGACGAGCAGTATCAGCTGCTGTCTCAGAAGGTATCGTCAGACAGTTTCGCCAATACTCGGGCCCAAGAAGACCCACTAGTGCGAGACTTCTACAATGTCCGAGACCGTCTGTGCATAGCCGACGACCTTTTGATGTACGGCGTAGACGAAAAGGACCTGAGACTGGTTATTCCCAGGAACCTCCGCCGTCAGATCATCAAAAACCTGCACTCTGCGCATCAAGGCTCATCTTCCATGCTGGCACGAGCTAGACAGGTTGTTTACTGGCCCGGCATGGAACATGACGTCCAAGACCATGCCCGGCACTGTGAGCAGTGCCGTCGCCACGCGCCGTCTCAGCAAAGAGAACCACTGCTTCCCTCCCCAGCCCCAGACTACCCGTTCCAGCAAGTGGTCGCCGACATGTTTGAGCTCAACGGAAACATGTACCTGAGCTACGCTGACCGGCTGACAGGCTGGCTGGAAGTTCACCATTTTCGCTCAGCTGTGACGTCAGAAGCGCTCTGCGGCGTATTCCGCCAGCTGTTCCACAGATGGGGCGCACCTCAAGAGCTGTCGTCTGATGGCGGACCCAACCTGTCAGGGCGGCCCTTCCAGCTGTTCCTGCGCAGGTGGGGCGTCCGGTGGCGCCTCTCGTCAGCCCACTTCCCTCAGTCGAACGGCCGAGCTGAGGCCGCCGTTAAGACAGCCAAGCGCATCATACGCGAACACACAGGAAGAGGAGGTCATGTCAACACGGATGAGGCAGCACAGGCGCTGCTGATGTACAGAAATACGCCGCTACGAGACGGCGGTCGGTCCCCGGCACAGCTGGCGCTGGGCAGGCACCTCCGCGACAGCATCCCGTCACCGTCACAGCAGTACAAGCTGAGCCCCGAGTGGTGCCGGGATCTCCGCCGACGGGAGCTCTCCATGGTCACCCGCGGCGAGAAAAGCAAGGCCGCTTATGATGTCGGCACGAAGGAGCTCTCCGAAATGTCGGTCGGCGACAGCGTCCTCTGTCAGGACGCCAGAACCAAAGCCTGGGACCGCCGAGGTGTCATCGTAGAAAAGTCTCCGTTCCGAAAGTACTTGGTCAAGATGCAGGGCACTGGCCGCGTGACGATCCGTAATCGGCGTCACCTGAAACTAGACTTACAGAAGTGATGTGCTCGTGAAGTCGGCGTGACTATCCGACTTGGAGGGGGGTTGTAGGGGTGCTCAACATCCTAGACCACGTGCTAATGTGCACGAGTCTTTTCGTTAGAAAATTGATGTGTCTTTTTTGGTCGGGATTAAAAAATATACTTTTGCTCGCTCTCGTATACGTTACGATATCTCCCTTACAGATACCAACTTGGTATTTGGTATTTCAATCCTAATGTACTTGGTATTTTGTTGGTAAAATGTGCCCTCACTTACGTATAAGAAGGCTGAGAAATTGGTAAAAAGTCGGTATTTCCCTCATGTTCTGAAGTTGGTTCGGTATCGGTATATCCTTACGGTTTATGTTGGGATTTGGTTTGGTATCGGTATTCAGATGTTCTGTAACTGACATCACTATTTCAGAGCCCCTGGCTCTTTAGGGTTGACCGCCTGGCCGGCTCTCAAAAGCCAGTGGCTCTCAAGCCAGGGAGCGATAGCGATTCTTGAAGATTAACAATATTTCAAGAGAGACTTCACGTGCACTGTGCAGGGCTCATTTTTTTGCGTTCGCTTATTTTTATTTTACTGGTTTAGTCTTAGTTGAAAATGTCGCCCGTTCTTCTGCTGACCGGCGGCTATCTGGTCGCCCAGGCGCGCCGGTGGACGCTTACGGTGAGCTGCACCAGTTCCCCTGGTTTCATGGTACGCTGGCGCGCTCCGATGCCGCCCAGCTGGTCCTGCAAGAGCGCCAGCGCGGACACGGCACCTTCCTAGTGCGACAGTCGGAAACGCGCGTTGGAGATTACGTGCTGACCTTCAACTACCAGGGACGACCCAAGGTGGGCCGCTGCAGTGGGCGTCGGTGGGAGTGGTCGGCGGCGGGTTTGGAAGAAACTAGAAATGGTAAAAAGAAATGGTTAATAGGGGTGCTGTGCTTGGTAGAGATGGTCAGTGGCGGGGCTGGTGAAGATACGGCTGGTGGAATATTCAGATATACGGGGCTGGTGCTGTTTTAGTCAGTATTTATTTGTCACGTATCATGGTCACAATCGGTTGTTCAGAAGGTTTTCAAACGAATACAACACCGCTCTTGCAAATCTAACAATTGTTTTCGTTCAATCTAATCAACAATGCATTCAATCAAATAATGCAACGATTATCATTCCTAAGCAAACTACATGTTTTTTTTTCATTTTGCGTTGTGCAAATCACAGCATATACTTAACATGGCATTGCAGTTTTGTTTCACTTTGAAGCAAACGTGTTGCTCATGATATAGTTATTCATTATTTTGTCGAAAAAGGATGGGAAAATGGCACGTGCGAGCGAGGTTTAAGTGAATAGTGACTAAGGGCAACAAATCTTTTAGAAAATTACGTTGCTCGCCTAATCGATCATGACAAGATCATTAGCCCTCAGTTGTTCGGTTAGTTCGCCACCGACCACTTGTCGGGAAAGGGGGGGGGGGGTAAATGTCCCCAGCCAATAACTCGAAAACTCATAAGCGCAGCCATAGATAACATGAACTACCTGGATTGGACACTCGTTTTTGGCGCGAAAAATAAGAGGCCACTTTGGCCTCTTATTTTTAATGACGGATTTTTAATCGGTATTTTTAGAGGCTGATACCTCAGCAACTGCTGGGTCGATTCGCCTGCGGTCTTTTTTGTTGGGTAGCTCCATCCTTTCTGCCCCGCAATTCACTTATCGTGATGCATTCAGGTGACCGTCGTGGCACGTGGCACGTGAAAAGTCGGGGTGTTCAAGTCGTTCTGCTAAGGTAACAATTTTGAGAGGCCTATATCTCAGTAACCACTGGGGCGATTGACTTGCGGTAACTTTTGTAGAGTAGCTGTATCCCTTCTAACAAACATTGGATACTCTTGGTGCACGTGAGTGACCCCCGCTGCACGTGCAATGTGCAAAAAACAGAACAGTTGTTAAATTTGTTCCCATTACAATAACTCAGCAACTACTGGGGCGATTTCGCTGAGACTTGGCATTCATGTAGGCAGTAGGCACCCACCGGGCAATGCATATCCGTATGTCATGGTTGGGGTGCTATTGCAAGTGCGCACGTGCAGGGGTCGCTTCCAGATCTCGAGAACGGCTGGACCGATTGCGCTCAAATTTGGTACACTATTAGAGACCGGCGAGAAGGGTGCCGTTCAAAAGTCAGCTGGGACCCATATTGCACGCGCGCACGTGCAGGGTGCGGCTTCCAGTTCTCGAGAACGGCTGGGCCGATTGCGCTCAAATTTGGCACCTCGCAAGAGACCAGTAAATAGAGTGCCGTGCACCGGGGAGGTTGTAGCTCTGCGCGTGCTCACGTGCTCACGTGCACACCCCTCTGTCATATCTCAGAAACGGACTGACCGATTGCAATGAAATTTGGTGTGTGATTGGATGCTGAATGTGTATGAGTTTTTCTAAGTCGATGAAGGTGAGGCAATGCACGTGCGCACGTGCAGGGGTCGCCTCCAGATCTCGAGAACGGCTGGACCGATTGCGCTCAAATTTGTCACACGATTAGAGACCGGCGAGAATGTTGCCTTACCAAAGTCAGTTGGGACCCATATTGCACGTGCGCACGTGCAAGGTGCCGCTCCCACATCTGAAGAACGACTGTGTCAATTGCAATCATATTTGGTACATCGCAAGAGACCAGTTGGTAGGGTGCCGTGCACCGAGGAGCCTGTAGCTCTGCGCGTGCTCACGTGCGCACGTGCACACCCATCCGTCATATCTCAGGAACGGACGGACCGATTACAATGAAATTTTGTGTGTGATTGGATGCTGACCGTGTATGAGTTTTTCTAAGTCGACGAAGGTGTGATAATGCACGTGCGCACGTGGGCACGTGCACATCGCACACCCCATATTTACAGCTAAAAACGAACAAGCCGATCTCAGTAAAAGCTGGTGTGCGATTCGGAAATAACAAAGTGCATTAATTGTGTGCTCCAGCACTGAATATGCATGTGCCGGTGCGCAAGTGCACACCCAACATAAACAGCTTAAAAACTGGAAGGCCGATTTCGATCAAATTTGCCGTGCGATTAGGGGATAAGATAACAAAGTGCATTGACTGTGAGCATCATAATGGGTGTGAGTATGCAAATATGAAGGTGCACAACCCATTTTTTAGAGCTGAAAAACGGGCAGAGGCTGGTGGTGATCAGATTCGGGTCATAATCGATAGCGTAACTCGCTCAGATTGGGGATTTCGGTCAGGTCAGGTATATACCTGACCTGACCGTACCCAGCCTGAGTGAGCTACGCTATCGATTATGAACCGGATCTTATCACCACCAGCGTGCTCGTTTTTCAGCTCTAAAAATTGGGTTGTGCATATTCACACTTATTCTGATGCACACAGTCAATGCAATTTGTTGTCTTAGGTATCCCCTAATCGCCCGGCAAATTTGATCGAAATCGGCCTTCCAGTTTTTAAGCTGCTAATGTTGGGTGTGCTCGTGCACGTGCGCACGTGCATTAGCACACCTTCGCGACCTAGAAAAACATAGGCGTAGGAACAGAGGGGGGGGCAGGTGGGCAAGTGCCCACCCACTTTTCGAGGTGGGGGGGGGGCAACCATGTGTTTTGGCCCACCCACTTTTTACTCGAGGCCCCTCGTCTCGATTTGAGAGGACGTCGTCACCTTCCAGAATAAACAAACTCGGTAAAAATAAGTTCCACGAATCCCCACGCACGGACTCTAAGGGGCCGTGATGGATCCAAGGAGGCCCTCTGTTCATACTTGTCAGTCGAAGCCCCTGAGACTGATGGCCTGAGAGGCCCTAGTGGATCTGAGGAGGCCCCAATATCCACACTGGTCTGGGGAGGCCCCTGACACTGGCGGTCTGGGAGGCCCCTCTATCCACACTAGTTAGAGGTCTGAGACTAGTGGTCTGGGAGGCCCCTCCATCCACACTAGTCAGAATAGGCCCCTGACACTGGTGGTCTAGCCGAGGCCCCTACCCTCACTAGTCATAGGAGGCCCCTCTATCCTCAATAGTCAGAAGAGGCCCCTGAGACTGATGGTCTGGGATGCCTATCCATCTACACTGTAGTCAGAGGAGGCCCCTGAGACTGATGACCTGAGAGGCCCTTATAATCACCAGGCAGAAGAGGCCCATGAGACTGATGGACTGAGAGGCCCTTCTATTCATTCTGGCCACAGGAGACCCCCAAAACTTTCGGTCTGGGAGGTCCCTCAATCCGGCACCAGTCAGAAGAGTCCCCTGAGACTGATGGCCTGGGAAGCCCTTATATTCACACTAGGCAGAGGAGGCCCCTGAGACTGATGGTATGAGAGGCCCTCATATTCACACCAGTCAGAAGAAGCCCCCGAGGCTGATGGCTGTGAGGCCCTTCTGTTCATATAACTGGCCACTGGAGGCCCCTGAAACCAGTGGTCTGGGAGGGCCCTCTATCCACACTAGTCAGAAGAGGTCCCTGAGACCGATGGTCTGAGAGGCTCTTATATTCATACTGGCCACAAGAGGCCCCTGAGACTGATGGTCAGAGAGGTCCACTTCTAATGAATCTGAGGGGGCCCTCTATCCACATTTACACTTTTCTAGGGAGGCCCGCGAGACTGATGGTCTGAGAGGCCCTTTTATTTATACTGTCCACAGGAGCCCCCTGAGATTAATGGTCTGAGAGGCTCTTCTATTTATACTAACCAGAGGAGGCCCCTAGGATTGATGGTCTAACAGGCCCTTCTATTCATACTAGCCAGAGGAGGCCCATGAGACTGATGGTCTGAGAGGCCCTTCTATTCAAACTATATATAGTGTCTCTTAGGGCCCTATATCGGTGGCTCTGCGGGCCCCACACCGGCGCCTCTGTGGGCCACCACACCTATGCATCTCAAGGCTCTATAGGTATATGTTGCAGGCACTTTGGAAAATCAGTCATTTTGTAAAATGCCTAGGCATTTTGCAAAATGCCTGATTTTCCAGGCTTTTTGCAAAAAGCCTAGGCATTTTACAAAATGACTGACTCTCCAGTCATTTTGCAAAATGCCTAGGCATTTTACAAAATACCTAGCCATTTTACAAAATGACTGAGCAGCATGTTGTAGATACGAGTACCTAATTATATATGTTTTGGTAGCGTGTAGGTGGACCGAGGAGTCCAGCATTATGTCCAGCAGTGGGAAGTCCATACCTACCTCTATTTTGAGAAGTGCAGGCCCGCGACATTTCCAACCCCCACGTCAGCGACGCTGCTGGATTTAAAACGATCGATCTGGAGCGTCAACAAACGACTTCAAATTCGAACGTGTTTTTAATGTCCAAATACATAATGCAGTTTTGTCCGTAATGGCACAATCAAACAAAGACTACACTCATTCGTTTACATGTAATTGTCCATCAACCGGGCCTGCCTATTGACTAGGCTGCCTATTGACTAGGGCCGGTCTCCGTTTGGTTTTGTTAGGTCTAGTTTCAGGCAGAACATGAACGGCGTTGATGTACTTGGGAGTTTTTACAGCGTTAACTAAACAATGCTTTATGCTACAGCCGAGTCTGCAACTCATCCTGGTCGTTACTCAGCATTGTCGTCATCACAGAACTTCAAATCGATCAGCTACAGGCTGAACACGTACAGTGGGTCTATTTAAGATCTCCAGAGCCACCACGTGGCGCTACGGTCGGGGTAGGGCGAGTCCAAATCCCGAGGGAAGTGAGGTCACCGGTCATTGTGGGGGAAGGAGGGAGGGGGAGTGACGCGGTATCACGGCGCATGGGGCGTGCGTAGCGCCGGGAGTGGGCCGTCCAGTGCCGCCCGCCACTGCGCCAAGGCTGAGGGGAGGGGATGATGGTTGCGG